TATATGTGATCATAAGTGGGCGGTGCCACAGCCCATTTTCCAAAATTTTACCATACAACGTATTTCTTGGTAAAGAATTGTTGCAAGCATCAATTTTGAATAAATTAGCTTTAATATTTACTGATTTATAGAAGATTTTGTATTTCTCGAAATTACCGTTATATGGGATGTGGGCGTGGTTATTGTCCGATTTTTTAAATTTTCGTGCCATTTAGTATGCTGTACCAAGGCCAACAACTGTGCCAAGTTTGGAAGAAATTGGTGCAGCGGTTACCAAGATATACACATGTAACCATAAGTGGGCGTGGCTACGCCCATTTTTCAAAAATTTATAATTTTCTTATTTTTCGTTTCAAAATTATTATAAATATCAATTTTGAGTGAATAATCTTCAGTAGTTACTAAAATATCGCAGTTTTCGTATTTCTGAAAATTACCGTTATATGGAAGGTAGGCGTGCTTATTGTCCGATTTTGCCCATTTTCAATACCATCCGTCCTACGCCCGAAAGAAGTACCAAGTTTTGTTAAGATATCTTAATTTTTACTCGAGTTATCGTGTGCACAGACGGACGGACAGACAGACAGACATGGCTTAATCGACTTCTCTATTTATTCTGAGCATTTAGGTATACATTTGTCTATATCTATCTCGATTCGTTTTGGTTGTTACAAACAACCGTTATGTGAACAAAATGAATATACCCTTGTGCACAAGTGCGCTTGGGTATAAAAAGTTGTTTATTAAATTTCTGGATCATGAAAAATGTTACAAAGGATATGTTCTTTTTAATGTTTGCTGATTGCAGTCAGGATATAACCTTCCTGTGGTCTTGTACGCAACGCAACAAATATTGTTTTTGTTCCTCCTCAACTGTGATCAATCCGTGAAAGTCCTGCATTAATTTTGCTTTTTTAACAAATTCTTTTCCTCCTTTAAAAAAATGCATTTCATAATATTAAATAAACAAAATAAAGTGTTTTAGTGTTTGACATGTCCTCTCGGGTTGATTAAAGAATAAACGTGGAAGTATTAATTAGAAAATTTGAAAAATATCCTTCTAAATTTGTATCCTTTAGTATCCTTATATATATTAATAAGATTTAAATTAAACTAAGATTCTTCAAAACTCATTCAAAATTAAAAATCTTGAAGGATAATATTTTTAAAGGACATTTTTGACATGTTCCAGAAGGATAATTGAAAACAATAGTTATAGTTAATCTTGCTTCGAATTCTTCTTTCATTTGATACCCATATCTCCATATTTTGTGTAAACTTTTGTAAATATATTATAATTTATGGTCCTTTGGAAAAAATGCTGACTACCAGGTAAAAAACCAAAAACGCAGATTTACTAAATATTATGTCCTAATACTGTAGGGAGTATAGTAATACCGTCTTATAAAGAAGTAAAATGAGTAAATTAGCAAAACACGCGAACTGCAACAAGCTTATTCTGATAACTTTGACTGCAAGTCGGCAGGGTTGCCGTGGTTAGAATTGCATAAAATTTTATTCGGATATTTTTTAAGATAACACCAATGAAATGAGGAGGTATGCGTCAAAAAAAAAACAATGTTGGTTTTTTGGGACAGTCTAATATACATACATACAAACACGGATCTCCATGTTCTCTGCAGATCCGTATGTACTATTTAAATTTAAAGAAATAAAAAAACTTTAAAAGTTTAGTTATTGGGGTAATTTATGTCGCTCTCAATAAATTTTTGCAATAATCTTATCAATCGTTATGTTAAATTACGGAGTTCTTATGATTTTTTGCGGATTACATATTGAAAACAAGGTTGGTCTACCTTTTTGCCGAAAGTTTAACCCATCAACTCGAACCAGAACGTCCCTTTTTGACCCACTGTTGAAAAAATTACTTATAGATGGTTAAAAT